GCAGCCTGCTGTCCTAGACAACTCCTTTCCGTAATCTCCTCTAAGGGCACACAGCCATATTTGACATCTGTATGTCAAATTCACGAGTCTCTCCTTGACCATTAAGCTCCCACTTTCCACAGTCTCTGTAAAAGGAGTGCTTCCTTGGCATGTGCAAAGTTGATAGTATCATGGTAAAAATGTGAAGTCTATACCCACATTGCACTTAGTAAAATATGAAGTATCTATGTAAAATACATAATAGCTATGCAACACTTATTGATGAAGAGATGCTAAGTAAGTGATGTTTCTGTACTATGTGTAAATGCCTCTTGCACACATTATTTTGCATCTTGCATTTTGACAAAAATGCCAATTGCTTTTTATTTTTCTCAGCTATACTGACTTTTCAGGGCCTGAACATAGTTTGGTTTAATTCTTGCCTTAGCTTTACTAAAAACCTCAGTGGTGACAGCAGATCAACACAAAGGATCCTGTTTAGTTGTCAGATAAGAATCTGAAGTTTGGTTGATATTTACCAAAATTTTAATTTTAATTTTGTTAACTTGAAGAGCTTGGTATAGGATTCACTTTAAAAAAGGCATACCCTCAATACTGTAGTGGCAGGTGCAGTTGAATGGAGTCACGCTTTAAGCATGGAAATGGTTCAATCTTAAAAAGTCCTCACTGGGATCTGGACATCAAGTGTCTTGTGTTAAAGTGCATTGCTGGACTAATGAAAATACAACATTGTTTTCTCTCTCTGGTTCTGAAATCAGAGACTGCATATTGTTGTCAATGCCAGAAGGATAAGAGACTAGATCTTGATTTAAATCATATATATTTAAAGGCTCTTTTTCCCCAGATGTATGTATTAATTGGGAAACAAACTGGGGGGGACGCAGGGGGGTGTCCTTTGAAATAAACCAGATTCCTAATGGAATAAGAAAACTCCCTCCAGTGCATTTTCTCCCTCTGTGTCAGCTTTTATAGTTCTGTTTCTGGCACGCATCTTTTGAGATTTCTTTAAAGATTGTTAAGAAATATTCTCTTACATCAACAAACAATTTTCAGAGCCTGAGCAAAGCTTTAATAAAAAGCATCTTGCACAGAAGATTGGTAACTGGGGAGGGAGAGGGGCAAAAGAGGTTGTAGGGAGGGAAGCACAGGGCTGCTTTGTAATTTGGTTTTTTACTTTCTAAGATCACCAAAATGTAAAGCTGCATTTCAGGCTTGTAAACAATTGTTTTTTTCGGGAACAGAAATGCTTGTATAGGGCATGTGTGCGGGAAGCCGTGCACTGAGAACTGCAACCAGTAACTTCATTTGCACTTGCAGGGTTGCATTTGTTAATGTCACACTGTCATTAAGTTGCTCTGTCTCAGACTGACTCAGACCGTTATGTAGCCCTCAGTAAATGATGAAGAACAAAATTTGAAGGAAGCCCTTAAGAGGTTCAGATAGTGCTATAGGAAGCCCCTCCCAACAATACTTGAAAATCTGGAAAATGTACAGTAGACCAAGTGTTTTGCTGAAGCTTTAAATGCTAGCAAAAAGCTTTCCAAGTTTTTACTGGCAGAAAGCTCCTGGTCTCACCTGCTATTTTTTTCTTTCCCCCTTAGGGGTGTACAACGAACAGTAAGCAGGAATACCTCTGTGCAGAGCTCAGCTGAGCTACCAGCAAAATTCCCGTCTGAGAGCATATTGCATTATGGGCTTAGCAGACCAGCAATGCTCTCGCGACTCTCTTGTTTAAATGTAATGACAACACTACAGTCTTTTCCCAAAATACTTTGGGGCAGGGAGACGGGGTGCATAGGGGAGTGTGTGCATGTGTCTGTCTGGAAGTCCATGCCCCGAAGGTAGAGGGACAAAGTTTCACATGACGAACCTTCAGGATGGAAGGTAAAGGAAATACAGGATGCACATCTGGAACTGCAATACTAATGAGAGAATTAAGAAAGCACAACGCAAGCACGGAGCGTACCCATAAAGCAGAAGGTCAAACCTTTTTTAGCTCTAGGTCTAAGTTAAAAAACACATTTTGGTAATTCATTACGCACACAGAGTGTCTAAGGTATTGATTATTCACAGTGTGCCCAGGAGCGATGAAGGAATGCCACTTTGGATCCAAAAGGAGCAGAGATTAGCCATATTAGCTTGGTGCTGTGGTCACCAGGAATCATGGAGTATTAAACACTTTTTTATACTTAAGTAGGAATGGAGAGTAGGGAAGGATGTAACCCTACAGAGATTTTTAGGTGTTTTCAACAATAACTGACTAAAAATCTATGTTCTCAAAATATGCTGGGAGACTGTCTTACAGGAGGTAAGCATTCCCACAGTACTAAAAATTGTTTATAGCAGATGTTAAAAAATGAAACTTTTTGCTTTTGATTTCAGTTAAATCTATTCTGTGGTGTAGAAACAAGTGTTTGTTCTGTGGGTTTTATTTACTTCATTTTGTTTTCCCTTTTTGTGCTGGTTTGTGTAAAAAACAATCAACAACCAAACAAAAAGCCCAAAGCAAATGAAAAAGTAGAAAGACAGGAGAGGAATTCACAGTGCCAACTACATGTAGTAGTGGAAGATACACCCAGCACTTGAAAAAAATGTGTGTTCTCTTATATTAGAAGCATCCTCTTAAAATCTCAAGAAAAAAGCAAAAAAGTAAGGGCTCCAAGTCTGCCACATCTTCTGCACATGTTTAACTTCAGGCATTGTCATTGGTTTCAGTGGTAATGTGAGGGAGGTCAAACATATGGTAAGTCCTTGCAAAAATTAATCTAGGGGACTGTTGCCTAAGTGGTCTTTGGAGTCAGTGCTTGTCTGCAGGAGCCTGGCTGCTGCTGGGGTGTTGGTTTGTTTCTCTCCAGCTGTAAATCTCATTTTTAAAATACTGGAGTATACCAGACGCTTTCCAAATAACACTCCTCGATGCAATTATTTGCAATAGCTGCCAGGGGGGTATTAGGAGGTCTCGAAGGGGAGCAGAGTGTCTGCAAAACCCACTCTGCATTAAGATATGGTTCTTGCCCCAAAACACACAAATCCCTGGGTTATGTCCACACAGCCATAGCATAGATTTAGAAGTATTGAAGAAAATATTTTTCCCTTCTTTTGCTGAAATACTGAGTTTCTAAGTAAAACAAGATAGCAAAGAGGAAGAGGGAAGGAGCTGGGTGGCATGGTTTTTTTCCTCCACAGTGTGCGATGATGATTTTGATCCCTCTTCAGCTGAACTTGATGATCTTGGGCAAGCTGCTGGACTTTGTGTCTTGGGTTCTTCAGCTAAATAGTTGTGCCTCTCTCCCTTGCAGACATGCTGTTGTAGCTAGTGAGATCAGAGCACACCTCTGCTAGGCTAAGTAAAGGCTTGATGGGGACATTCACATGTAATACACTAATCAAATTAATCTAAAGTGTACTTAGTTTAAAAACTCTGCCTAAACCAAGACTTGGGCAGGTTTGTTGAATGCATTTCTGACTGTACCCTGCTTAGTCTGTATCTCTGCTCTCACAGTCACAGAGGTGTAGAGTCAGTGTTACTTAAGGAGATGGCTTTGCATGCTTCCCCGAAGTGTCTGAACACTGAAGTGATAGCAGAAGATGTGACGTGGAGGAAAGCTTCGTGCTCTAAAACCACTGTTCTTACTCCATTTGTGATATTTGTTATTCTACTGGATACTAAATTGTGGTTTCTGTATCCATCTTTTGATGATGCTTTCCTTTATAGAGGATTTCTGTTGAGATCAGTACTGAGAGGTCAGGGATGGGGAAGGAATGTGCTCAGCAGTAGCATTCATCTCTCATATATTGGTTGCATCTTCTGTAGCGTACTGCTGAAATATCTCAGGGTCTCCAAATGTATTGCTCATGACATTTGCTCGATTATCAAAATTATGTCCTAGTTGTCTTCCAGTCTTTTAGTTGCTTTGCTTGGAGAGCTGGGAGCAGGAGTGGAAATGACTCACAGGCAGCAATGTCAGCACAGAGGGAAGACAGTTGAAATAATCTTACAGCAAAGGCAACATTTCTTAGTAGCAGAGGCCCTTTATTTTTATGCCTGCTTTTTGCCAGTGAAGTGAAATACAGAAGGTAAAGAAGTAGCAAATTGTTGGGAGGTTTCTTTTGGGGCCGAGGGGAGGTTGAGTTGACTGCTTCTAGTGTGACAGTTAACACTAGCAAAAAAGATTGTGTGAACGTTGTGCAACAGCTCTGTAAAAAGTTTCCAGGCATGCTGTTTCTTCACCACTTACTTTTCTGGGCCTGTTTTTTCAAATCAAACTGAAGTCCACTTTAGTCCGTTGGAAAGGAGTGCTTTCTGCATGCGCATGAAGAGGCACAGTCAACCCCTCTTCAAGAACTAGTCTCTGGGCTCTTGGTTAAACTGTTGAGTCCTGGTTTGCATGAATGAAAAATGAACTTTGTTTATGACACGAAGAAAATAAGCATACAGGGTTGTGCTTTTCCCATCTGCCCAGGTCTGGTGAATGAAGCAGCATTTGCCTTGTAACCTTTTCTTTGGCCTTCCACTGAACAGCTGAAAGGAGTTGAGAGGCGAAGGACCACAGAACTCCCCCAAAACCTCACAGCTGCATAGGTTATTGGCAGTTACTTTCTGTCAAAAAAAGCCTGTGACTCAAGTGTACTCATTTCTTGCCATGTTCAGTCGAGAGTATAAAGAATTAAAATCCCTGGACTTCCACTGCCGTCTCCTCTTCATTACAGGGCTCGGACCCACAGCCCCTCCTCTGGTAGCATGGCTTTGACAGCACACCTAGCACTGCATCTCTGTCACGTACCCAGCACTAAAGTGAACGGTGTTTCCAGAGTATAATCTAAGATAGGTTTTAGAATATGTGTTTCCTCACTGTCACTGGTAAAAATGAGTGCTTAACCCCCCCCAAACCTTGAAGCCCATCATGTTCCGTTAACAAACGGGCTAGCATGGTGCTGCATTGCACCAAGAGCTCTGCGTCCATCCACTGCTTACGGAAATTGTGCGTTTTGTCTTCCAGACTCCGACCTGAGCATGCGGACGCTCAGCACGCCCAGTCCAGCATTAATATTTCCACCGAATTCCACCGGTTTCCAGAATGGCAGAGGGTCGTCGACGTCTTCGTCCTCAGTCACTGGGGAAACTGTTGCCATGGTCCACTCGCCGCCTCCAACACGTCTCACTCATCCTCTCATCCGGCTGGCATCCAAGCACCAGAAGGAACAGGCCAACATAGACCGACTTCCTGACCACTCCATGATCCAGATATTCTCCTTCCTGCCCACCAACCAGCTGTGCCGCTGTGCTCGCGTGTGCCGCCGCTGGTATAACCTTGCCTGGGACCCCCGCCTTTGGAGGACTATTCGCCTGACGGGCGAGACAATCAATGTAGACAGGGCTCTTAAAGTGCTGACCCGGAGGCTTTGTCAGGATACACCCAACGTATGTCTCATGTTGGAGACGGTAATTGTTAGTGGCTGCAGGCGGCTCACAGACAGAGGACTCTACACCATTGCCCAGTGCTGTCCAGAACTGAGGAGGCTGGAGGTGTCTGGCTGTTACAACATCTCCAACGAGGCAGTCTTTGATGTCGTGTCACTGTGCCCAAACCTGGAACACCTGGATGTGTCAGGTAACAGGAAATATTTAAATATGGGAGCCTCTGAGTCTAAAAGCCGCATGCTTGTCAAACCACTGGCCCCTGTCGTGGTTTAACCCCAGCTGGTGACTAAGCACCACACAGCTGATCACTCACTTCCCCCCAGCGGGAGATCGGAAGAGTAAAAGTGAGAAAATTCATGGGTTGAGGTAAAGGCAGTTTAAAAAGTAAAGCAAAAGCCACACACGGAAGCAAGGCAAAACAAAGAATTTATTCACTACTTCCCATCCCAGGCAGATGTTCAGCCATCTCCAGCAAAGCAGGGCTCCATCACAAATAATCGTTATTTGAGAAGACAAATGCCATAACTCTGAACATCTCCCCTTCCTCCTTCTTCCCCCAGCTGAGCATGATGTCATATGGTATGTAATATCCCTTTGGTCAGTTGGGGTCAGCTGCCCCAGCTGTGTCCCCTCACAACTTCTTTTGCAACCCCAACCTACTTGCTGATGGGGCAGTGTGAGAAGCAAAAAAGGCCTTGATGCTGTGTAAGCATTGCTCAGCAATAATGAAAATAGCCCTGTATTATCAACATTGTTTTCAGCACAAGTCCAAAACATAGCCCCATACTAGCTACTATGAAGAAAATTAACCCTGGCCCAGCCAAAACCAGCTCATTCTCCACCCCTTATTCCATACCATTTATGTCATGCTCAAGGCCCACACTATCCAATATATCCTCATTAATTATCGCCCCCTGTCCCATTCTTTGATATAATACACTGATATCATTCCCTTAGTCTATGGACCACCCCTGTAAAATGTCCATAAAATGTCTATTGAGTTAGTTTAGTCCATGTCTTCAGGCTCCATCTGTTACGGCAGTCACTCAAGACAGGAGAGGTGGTGTGTGGTGTGGAGTTATTGGCCACCACAGTCAGCTCAGGTCAGGTCACCGCTGTTTTTGCACTGGTTCTTATAAGACTTCTCCTCCTCCATTGGTTCAGGTAGTTCCTGCTATAGTAATTCCTCTAACATTCAACTCAAATCCAGCATTACAACAATTTAAAGGTATTTCCATTACAATCTCCACCCCTGGTCCCTTTGGACCAGACCATATGGTTTAACACTGCAAAGAACTCCTCCCTTTGTCCCTGCTCCAGCTTGGCCTTATCCACAGACTGCAGTCCCTTAGGGGTGTACCTGCAGCAAGCGGAGCCTTATCTATGAGCTACATTCTCATCAGGGGTATCCCTGCCATTGCATAGACTTATCCATAGCCACAGTTACTTTGAGGTGCATCTGTTCCAGCATGGCCTTATCCGTGGGTCACAATGCCTACAGAGATACGCCACGCTCCAGCGTGGCCTTAGCCACAAGCACAGTCCCTTCAGAAGTAAACCTGCTCCAACATGGCTACTGTCCCTCCTGGGGTGGAGTTGATTTCCCTTTCTGTGTTGTCTTTCAAAGTAGGAATCCCAGTCTCCTCACACGATACTGGTGAGACAGGCACCACTAGCATCTCAGTGCCCCAAATGCCAGCAGGACCTCTTGAGCGGCCAGGCCTCCTCAGATGGAGACAAGCTAGCAGAGATGGCCCATTCAAATAGCACAAAGACTATTTAGAGATTTTTGCGTAAAGCACCCTTACAAGAGCCCACATTGCAGTCAATGTTATATCATATAGTAAAGGCTACTTACTAGAGCAAAATTTGTTGTATCTTATATATGTGTATCGTTTATAAGTAGATGATATGTATATAAAAAAATGTATGTACCAGTAATCTTATGAGTGACTTGAGCAGGAGTTCAGAATCAGTGCTAGGCTTTTGTTTGGGTATAAATATCAACTGTCATCCCTAGCTGTACTTCAAGGTCCCCTTGTTTCCATTGCTATTTTAACCAGACTTAGCTAGCTTGGACCTTTTTTTTTTTTTTTAAATAGTGTATATATTTGCTTAGTGCCTTTCTGCTTTTCATTTCACCCAGTTACACTGTATCATTGCAGCTGTTTAGATCAGCAACATTATTTTACACAATTTTTCTCATACCTGCTTTGGGGAAACAAGATTATTTTTTTTTCCCCGAGATTAGCCACACAGCATTTCCTTTCTGCAAACAGGTTGGCACTTCATTAAAAGCATGCAGCCAAGTAAAGCACTGAAGTAAATTTTATGTTCACTTATTTTGTGATCTTACCTTGTTATTAGTCTAATGTTGATATTACATAGCTGAACCAGGTGTGCCATTGCAGAGGTGCTGATGGCTGTGCAACAAGCAGGACAACGTGGGGACTGGAAGCACTCTGTTGAGTCACTGGTACCTAGACAAACTGATTTTTCCAGGGCTGCCTATCTGGTGTAGACTGTTTTGCTTTCTTTTTCCTGCCTTTTATTTTTTTTTTAACTGTTTTATCCAATCTTTCACCTCGTATTTCCTAGTATGGCAGAATGTCATGAATGGCATCAAAACAAATCAGAGTTATTCACTTTTTGTGATCACTGTCTGAAACCGTCAGCTGATAAGGATTCTCCACAGGACTCCATGGGAGTCCTGTCCCGTGGAGTCTATTCACAATGACCTAGCGCATGAATTACTTATTGCCGGTACATACTGACATTAGCTCTGGATTGCTAACCACACATTCAGGTTGAATCATCTCCAACACCAGGAGAAAATGCATGTGCCTGTGTAATTTAGAGACCTAGAGCTACATACCACTTCGAAGGCTGGCTGTATCCCAGGCGTATTTATGCTTTTCTTACTACATCCTCTAGGGTGGTATGAAGAGTTGAGTGGCTCGAGTATCCTGAGCCTGGAGAGACAGGAGAAGTAGAATTGCTGAGCTGAGGGTGAACTGCCTTGGCACACCAGTTTGTTAGCTGATGCACCCAGTATACTTGGGGACTTTCCTTGTAGGTGGCTGAAAATGCTTTGGTCTACAGCTTCTACTGATAGGTATAATATAGACCAAAGGTGATTTTTTCAAAAGCAGGGGAAATGAAAAGAAGATACCAGGTCTTGAAATATGTTCTTTTGGGGTCTGTCTTCATTTGTGGTTTTCCCAAGCCTGTAACTTTCAGACCTAGAAGCTTGTGTCTGTCCCTAAGAGCTCATCAGTTTGGTCGAAAGTGTGTAGAGGGTGAGTCCTCCTTTAATTTTGTCTCATCAGTGTGACAGGAAAGTAATTTTAATCTCACGTTTTTCCAAGTTATCCTTACTTTTTGGAGCAGGTAAGGGAAAAATCCTGGTTTTGAATATTCACAGAAGCCAGGGTGTTTGGATTCAGACACAGCTTTTGCTGCATGTGCCTGCACACGAATTGAGGATAATTGATCTCTCAGGTCTTGTTTTGAGCACCCTTTTTTCATTCTGATGTGGGTAATTTTGGAGGATGTTTTGGAAGCAGGATTCCATTTTACCCTCCTTCTGTCTGGCTGAAATAAAATATATTAAAATGGTTTTTACTTCTTTTTTGTTGGACCCTGTTTTTTTGAAGGGTTGCTGCACAGTTTGTCAGGATATGTAATGATCATCTCTGAGTAACTTTATTGCTCATGTATTTCACATGCGACACTGTACTTGGTGGCATGTGCAGAAGGAGGGGAGATGAATCTATCTAAGCAAATTGAATGCTATCTGCTAGGGCTAGAAGTGACCTCAGTGGCAGCAAAGCCCACAATAGTGAATGCAGCACAGCAAAGTCCTCTAATGAAGACTGAGTCTGATCCATCTTCACAGTATGTGTGCCAAGGATTGCATTCTCCTCATGTGATTTGGCTCCTATGGAGGCTGCTGCTTGTGTAATGCAGACCTCATCCTTTAAAAAAAAACTCTGTTATCCACGGGCGCTAGTTTAATCCTGCCAGTTATATCCCATTCATTTCTTCCTTGCTGGAAGGGCAGGACACACCATCTGTAAACACATCGGTCTTCAGGCAAAGAACAGCTTCTCTTGGAGTCTTACCAAAGAGGAATCTCCGCTCAGTAACAAACTGCAGAATTGGCAAGGAAGGAGTATCTTAGGGCACCAGGAAAAGGTAGTTCCAGCAAGTATTCTGTGAAGAGAGGAAATGGATTTAGGGCAAAAGAAAGTATAATTGGTTTGGTGGACAACACCTCAAGGACTGGAGCAAGAGAAAGCCTTGGCTGAGCAAATGGTGATGCTGTTGGGCAGATTCAAATTGTTTCTTAAAGGATCACCTTGTTCCATCTCTGTGGATGTTTCCTATAGAAGTGAACATTCTTGCTCTCATGCTTTCTCTCTTCTCCAGTTTCTCAGTCAGAAAGGGTGATTCCTGGGCTTACAAATTAAACAGGAAAAGCAGTCCATACATCTGTAGCTGTAAGTCTTCCTCTTCAAAGGGCAGGGGCACAGATTTTTACCAGTCTGCATTGTGGTACGAAGGCAAGTGCTGAAAGCATTTGCTGAGCTCTGGCTCAGACTGTGCCACGAGTACTTATGCAGCTCACTCTCTTACTGCCCTTTGGGTACTAAGTGTTTAAAGAGAAGGTAAGATGGGGGGGCAGAAAGAAAAAAAAAAAAAAGACACAACTTATTTTCGTATCTGAGTGTCTTACAAAAAGAATTCCAGGAATAAGATTTCAAACAGCAATTTTGGTTGCTGTGCAGGCTCTCCCTGGACTTGTCTGCAATGAGGCTGCACTCTAGGTCCTTGGACAAATTCTGGGCTAAACTGAGAAGGTCTCACATGAGAAGATCTTTTCTGTAATCAAGTCCAAGAAGTAGTTAGAAGGACAAGGCTTGCACCTACACACTCAAGCAATCGGCAGGACTGAAGTGGTTCACTGGTTTGGTTTTATACTGAGCAAGAAAAGTTGGGTACATGTGCTGGAGGATAATGCTATACTTGTAGCTAGTTAATTAAAACCCAGTTCACAGTTGTACATCTAGTTGAATCCCTCTCCCTCTTGGATGGTTACTTGGCAGCAATAACACAGCAAAATCTTTAATGTCTAAAACAGACATTCATATTAACTTTCAGAGTTTTCCACAATGTAAGTTCTGTAATTCTCAGCATCCACTTTGTGGGCAGATCTTAGATATCTCTAGAAGTTGGTTGAGCTTGACTGCAAGTTATTATCTAACATGTTAGCCAACTTTTTTTTTTTTTTTTAATCTGTTTGGAAGTTTCTCCTCCCTTTTAAAAATCAGTTATACTTACTTTATGGAAAATCCCGCTACAAGAGCTTTGTTTTTACATTTTTTATTATTTAGGACAGAAAAATTGTTACAGTCCCAGGAACCTGTCATTTTGCCTAAAAATCAGGCAGTTCTATATCAACACGGACTCTTTTTCTGGTGAAACCATTTTGAATACCCTTCCCATTAAATATTTTACAGTGTAGCCAAAGTAACTAGACGAGATGATTCTTGTCAAAACAGCAATCACACACTGATGTACAATGACTCCAACCCTGCTGTGAGACTTCTGACCCATTCACTTTATAATTGCGGTCATTAAAGCATTCTCCCTTTGTGGATCCTCAGCAGACAGAACATTTTCCTCAGCCTCCTCGACCCTTCATTCTCACTTAGTCAGATTTTAAAAATGAATTCTGGTCAGCATGTAAAATATCCAGACCGATTCCTTAATCCAGCAACTTCCCCAGGCAAACACAATAGCGAGAGCTACATCGGGTCCAGCAGAACTCTGCATAGGTGTCAGGTGCTTCTGTGGAAACCCAGCTCAAGGATGGGGACTTCTATGGTGCATTTTGTTTCACCTACTCCAAAGAAAATATTAGAGGTGAAATTTTTACACCATTAGTGTTGTACTGCTTCCCTTTAGAAAAATCACTTTACATTATTGAATGTGTATGCAGTATTTATTTGAAGGCAAACATATCTCCAAAGATTGCACCATAACATAGGTGGATCTGCAACGCAGTCTAAAGAGGAAACAGCAGCATTCAGTTTTAAGAAGATGTTCGTTGAACAAAGTGCTTTGCTTCAACGTCCCAGAGCTTCTGCATAACCTGTGGACAATTTCCCCATTTCATTGTGTGAGGCCTGAGGTAAAATTTGCATGTGTTTGAATAAATTTGAAGCCTAAATTAAAAATCCAGCTGCAGATTCAAATGATGAATGTAGAAGTCTAATTTCAGGTAGCAAACTGTTTCAAGTCCATAACCCATGCTTCTTACAGCATTCGCATAAACCCACTGGAATATCTCAAGGGTGGTTTTTTTTTCCGTTTTGTTTTTAAGAACTGAAGCATAATCATACTACCACTAAGCCTCTGAATGAGAACCTGTTGTTTCAAGTGGTATGGGTTTGAGTCATTCAAGTTTTTGAGGTGGTCTCTGTACGTTGTCATGTTCTTTACTTCCAGATTACAGGATTTGTGCAGCATTTCTGATACACAGACCTGTAAGGTCATCATCCTAATTTTTCTGGCTTTTTTCATGGGTCACTTCTCCCCTGGCCAGTGTTTCAGCAATACAGAAAAGTTCCTTTTATCCCTGCCTGAAGGGCCCACTATAGGCATAAGCTGCAGAATTTGTCTGAGTAGACATTTACGGCTAAAACTCCTGGGCCTTGGTCACTAACAGGTAGACTCTCCCTTCTTCCTTGTAGCTGTTTCTAGCTATGCTAATGCAATGTGCCCAGCTGAACCTGGCACAGACAAGAATTTCTCTTCAGGAGCCCGAGACTGCCAGTTTGCAGTGCAGCAGAAACAGCACTTTCCAAAAAAAAAAGCTTTCATTCATCACCATGCACAGAGTGGAGGTTAAAAACAGGGGAAGTGTGAGAGCATGTTTTTCCCTTTGAACTAACTCTTTATCTTTCCTTGCAAGGTCTGGTGTTTTTCCTCCAGCCTAGTTACCTCCATTCGTGGCCGGGCTTTCACATTTGAAACAGTCCTTTTCTGCATCTGTACATGTCCTCTCGTGCCCTTACCAGTCTGTTGGCTCCTGCTGACTCTCCCCATTCTCCTTAGGTTACCCGAATCTCCACCCTTCTGCAAGCACATAGTCTTGCCGTAGTTTTGCATCCCTCCCACATTGCAGGCTTGGGGCTGGATTCACATCTGTTCCTCAAATGCTGTTCAGAGGGTGGGTGGGGTTTGTCTTTTTTATAATGGGGTTGGATGGTGAAAGAGCCTCTGATGTTGGTTTACAAACTCAGCCGGTCAGCAATGAGACTGCCTCTGATCAAAAAGCTGTGTTGGTTGGCATGTAGTACCATTTTCTCAAATTGTCACTGGGTTTTATGTTGCAGTAAGAGATCACAGACAGTGCCTAGATAAAGCTCGGACCATCACTTTACGTTTGGGATATGGAGAAAATTGGTCCATTGCTTTGCTGGTGCTCAAAATCCCAAAGTAACCTCACTGACTCCAGCGGAGTTTATTATTTCCTCTGGTGTAGGGACACATCACAGCAAACCCAGGCTAGTTAGTCAGGAGGATTCTGCTCTTGCAACATGAAGACATCTTCATCACACCCATCACACAATTTCATGCCCACCTTTCTGGTCTTGCTGTGTGATTTGTTTTTACTGCTTGCTTAAATGTGCTGTGTTTTTCCACTTAGGCTGCTCCAAAGTCACATGCATCAGTTTGACTCGCGAAGCCTCCATCAAGCTGTCTCCCTTACACGGGAAACAAATCTCCATTCGCTACTTGGACATGACAGACTGCTTCGTCCTGGAGGACGAAGGACTGCACACCATCGCCGCTCACTGCACTCAGCTGACCCACCTGTACCTGCGCCGCTGCGTCCGCATCACCGACGAGGGTCTCCGCTACCTGATGATTTACTGCACGTCCATCAAGGAACTGAGCGTGAGCGACTGTCGGTTTGTCAGTGACTTCGGCATGCGGGAGATTGCCAAGCTGGAGTCGCGCCTCCGATACCTTAGCATCGCGCACTGCGGCCGGATCACAGACGTGGGCATCCGTTACATTGCCAAATACTGCAGCAAGCTGCGCTACCTCAACGCGCGGGGCTGCGAGGGCATCACGGACCACGGTGTGGAGTACCTCGCCAAAAATTGCACAAAACTCAAATCGCTAGATATTGGCAAGTGCCCTCTGGTCTCAGACACCGGCCTGGAGTTTCTAGCCCTCAACTGCTTCAACCTGAAGCGCCTGAGCCTGAAATCATGTGAGAGCATCACTGGGCAGGGCCTGCAGATTGTCGCTGCCAACTGTTTTGACCTGCAGATGTTGAACGTGCAGGACTGCGATGTCTCTGTGGATGCTCTGCGGTTTGTTAAACGACATTGCAAGCGCTGTATTATAGAGCACACCAACCCTGCCTTCTTCTGAAAGGACACCCCCACCTGTCGTTACAATGCAGTATTAAAAACACTGACGTATAAACACATGCTCCCACATTCAGTAATGCTGTCTTTTCTATAGCTCACGGGAGTCAGCTTTTCTTGTATGTTGTGGGTGAGGGGGGGTTCTAGAGGACTATTTTGTTTGCTTTTTGTATGATCACTTTTTAAGGTGCGGTGGGTCTCCGTGGAGACGTTGCCTTAATGCAAAAGCAATGAGTGCTCAGCATCCCCAGCGGGATGCCATTTCCATAACAGCTGTGATCTTGTCCCCGGCTACAGTAGCTACCTCCAAAGGAAATAGCACATAATCCCTCCTTTGGAAATGCTACTAAGCTGTGTCAAATACATCTGAATTCCAGCTGTGCTCATGAAGCTGACTATGCAATATGTGTCTGTGTTCCCCAACTTCTTCCAATACAGCTGATAAAGCATCCCCTTGTCTCCAAGTAGTTTCTCTTTGGTAGTCATCCATTGTAATCCCTCAGGAAATACTGGGTAATATTCTTCAATGTACTTGACTGATGCAGAACAAGACCTGCTGGCCATGGCCGAGCACTCTGCTGAGTGAATCTGGAGACTGTGCCCACGCATGGATTCTCCTGGAAATCCCACCTCCAGGTCACTCGTGCATCATCACTACTTGCCTTCATTTCTAAATCTGCTCTCTCCTGCATGTGTAGTACCACTCTCTGGTAGCAGATAGGGACTTCTGGGTCTGATATTCAGCCCAGTGAAGGAAAACAGATGAGATATTGGTGGCCTGGCAAAGGGAAAAGCCAACAAATCAGCCCAAAAAGCTGCTTTAGTTCTGCACCAAGCTGGCATAGCACCGGGGACTCTCTGAGGTGTTGTGGAGCAGCTTGCACAGGGCAGTCCCAGTTGCTGTGCTACACTGCTGTCACCAGAAATTCTGTCTTTGTTCTTTCACTGTATCTCTTCAGCGGCTGTGGCACCACCACAGTTGACACTCCCTGAGCAAACCAGGCACGTGCGTTGAGGTAAATTCAGTATGTGCCTTAATACACATAGAAACCCAACCCTTTTCTGTGGCCTTCCAGTTCAAAGGATAGATGGCTGACCTTGAGACTTCAAAGACGTTAGCCTGATGTTAGATAACACCCCTGGGGATGAAGAAGCTTAGATTGTTATTCACATTAGATTTAGATTTTGTGAAACCTTGTCTGTGTGTGTTCCCTCAGGCTGGAGAAACAGCTGCTGTTCAACAAGGAATCAAAATGCCAGCATTGTCCTGTGACATTGGGGTCCCCTTGTACTCTCATGGTCACTCTTGGTCATGCAAGAGCCAGAGTGGTTTGGTGGTTCCCCCATCTCATTGTCTCCTTCCCCAGAGCGTGTGGTCGTTTCATGGTTACTCTCTTCACAATTTTCTGGCAGCCGTTTCTCTGCATTTTCACATGTAATGCTCAGATCTGAAAGCCAGACACGTTAGGGGTGATGATATTTTCAGGCAGGCCCCCTGCGCCTGACTTGACAGGTGAATTCATACGTTCAGCTCAAACACTATAAATGTCTCGGTAGAGAACATAAGAAGGGAAGCACCGTGTCTGGTTTTCATAAGCAGTAGTTCCATCATCTCCAGACAACACTAATAAAATCATTGATATGAAGTGAAAATCCATATGCTCGAGAAAAATACATAACTGCTGAGGAAATACTTGTAGCAATGCTCTCTCAAATTATAAAAAAGCAATGGTTTGGGCATGTCCCTGCAGAGGGAACTTGTCCTACTGCTGCAAAAAGTCCTGTAACTTATGTCTGTTCCTCCAATTTTGAGTTTCTTAACATACAGGGTGTCATCAGCTCTGAATTATAAATCAGATTTTACTAAAGCAGAGGGCCACGGAAAATGAACTTGTCATTGCTACTATTACCTGTCAGTGACTAACAGGGGGTGATACCATCCTTTGGCCAGTTAATACCACTTTGGTTTTCCTGTCTGTAAATTTAAAATTAGAGATTCTTCTCCAGCAAGTAGACAGTATATTTTATCCGAGCCAGCTATTGTCTCTGCTTATCCTTTATCTCAAAATGGCCCCAAGGATCGTTAAATGTTAAGCCCATTCCTGATGATGGTGGGATTTTGAGCCATTTGCACTCATGAAATATAAGGCCTCATTAGTAACATTTAACTGTTTATTAAAAAAAAAAAAAAAAGCTACTTTTCTGACTACGCTAAATTGAGTGAATAGTGCTACATGGGTTTTAAGGTTTCTAATGTTTAAATTGGCCTGTACTGTACAAATGTCACTATAAAGCCTTAATTTGCTACCAAGAAATAAAGCAGTATATTGGTAACTGATAAGCGTTCATTGTCACTTGCATTAATTGATTAACTTCTTGTGAAAAATAAAAGATATAATACCTGTAAAACTTTCCTTGAAAGGTAGGTAGGTGAGTGAGCACATCAGCACACTAGGTAGGTGGATGACTATATTAAAAAAGGAAAAAAAATATTTGTTATAGATTATGACCTTGCCTATCTGTCTCTTTAAAATTTGATTTTACTCGTGGTTCTTCTTGACTCTCAAACATAATCAGTAACTGGAAGTATAAGTAAAAGAAAAAACAGTATATAAAAAGCAAATATATAAAAAGTTCAGGAGGGCCTCTGCATTGGTTTAAACACAAGTGAACATATTTGATGTGAAAAGTAAAATGGAAGGACTCAAAGGGTAGAGCACTTATTAGTGCAGCATTTCCTTCTAATACTCTAAAAAAACTACTCTGGGGGTTACTAGTGGAAAAGGAATAAAGGTAATATTTCTAAGCCAAACATTTTTAAGTATATAGTCTTACGTGATCTGAGTTGGCACTCTGAGACTGCTACTTATTTAAAGATAATTTGAACTTAACTTATTGATACACCTCGCCTGTTTTGACTTTTAACCTTTTTCCTGTGTCTACTTGCAAAATGACACGTCCAGAAAAGAAACTGAAACAGTGCATGTGGAGCTGAGTTTGCTGGAAAGGTTGCAGCTTGTGAGTGATGTTTCTTCGTTGCAGTTTGGGGTTGGCAAAGGCTATAAATTTCCCAAGTGAAAACATTGTTGATTCTTGAACCATAAAATGTGGGCTCAGGCACTGAGGCTTCTTCTGCTCTGCAATAACATGTGGTGATCTCATCAAAGCAAGCAGTGATGAATCACATCAGTCAGGCCGGCACGTTGTTTATGCTTCGGAATAACTTGTGTCCTGTAGAGAGAGGTCTCTTAGAAAAGGCGCGTCTAAACTACCATGTGCTGTGATTATAGCCAAATCTCTGTATCTAGGTATTTCCCTTGGCTTTTGTAAAAAGCCGAACTGTATTTCCCCCGTTAGCAGCATGAGATTGATGTGGAGTGCAACACTTTTTGCCTTTTTGAGCTATACTCATCTGGCTTCCTACGAAATGCGAAACAGCTTCTGTCGGATGTCTTGGACTCAGAATCGTGGTCCAGACTGTAACCTTCAGTAGTGGCTTACGTGGTTTCTGAAAACTTCTAGCCTTTGAACTGGAAAATTAAAAAGCTAGTAAAAGACCTAATTTTAGCACTAGGCTTGAAGCAGGTCCAAACTCTCATTAAAAAGAAATACAGTGACCATTTGGACTGCAGACTGGCTGCCCCACAGCTGCCAGTGTTAGTTTAAAGGGGAAAAAATCTCTGACAGAGTTGGTGCATGGCTCCTCTCCCCCCCAGCGTTCCCCAGGAAAGTAACCTGCCCTCGGATTTTTGTAATTTTGTCAGTTTAGCTATTCGTGCTGAAACTTCCCATGCTGGGCTTTGAAAATGTTAGTTGAAATGGTTCATCTGGTTCTGTAAATAAAGCTAGGAGGAAATGTCATTTTGCTCATGTTAAACTCCTGGTGACCTTTCCTTTGAAAACGGTTCACTGCTCTGCATCTCCTCTAAGGCCTTCAGAGTAAAAGGGTGAGCCTTGCCAGGAGGTCAGCTTTGGGACAAGGATGCGTCTCACAGATCTCCCAGTTTAAATTCTCCCATATTTAGCTACATTATGTGTCTTTGAATGTCTCCAACTCCATGACCAGGGAGAAAAGGGGCACGCTCAGATCTTTTGGAGCTTGTAGTCTGGTGAGGCTGAGATTTGGCAAAGCTAAGAGGCGTTTATCACTCTGGCAGTGTGAAGGAGGAAATGACCTGAATTATATGGAAGCTGCCTGGAAAGTCAGGGCAGGGTTGAAAGATGGGGTTTTGAAAACTGGGACAAGAAGAAGGGTGAAGGAAATTTCCTGGGCAAGGGGAGCTGGGATTAGGATGACAAGAAAAGAGATTGAATGATTTACAGCAAAAAATCTGTGGTTGAGGTTAGTAGAGGTGGATTTCTATAGCTTGTTGAACAGGGGAGTCAGGCCAGAGAAAATGTAAGTACTGAAGAATGAATTTTGGGACAGGGACAGAAACGTGAAGAAAATGGCCTGAACATGACGTAAATAGAGTAGAACCCCCCCAGGGAAGGCTCTGGGAAAGGCTGACAAACTGTTTCTGTGAGGACACATCAAATCTGAAACAGCCTTTCAAAAATGAAATGGTAATTTTGCATTTAATGCATCTGATATCTTTTTTTTTAATATATTTTGTGAAGCCAGAAAAGCTTTACAGGCACATCCCTTGCCTTTACCAGCAAATGTATACTGAGGCCTCAGACACTGTCAAGCTCAGTGTCTTGTTCCTACCTTTCCACCTTGGCGTGAGGTAGTCCACTGAGGAGAAGGCAGCGAGGCAGGTTTGTAACATCTATTCTTCCTTTGGTATTGTGTTTCAGCCACACCAGCCGTTTGGCTTTGCAGGCGTCAGCGTGGAGCCAAATTCGTGCCCTTTTGATGGCTGTGAAAGGGCATAATAATAATAGGTTCAAGTTACTGCCAGGCAGCAGACATCAGAATTCAAACTTAGCTTAACAAAAAATACAGTTAAATCAACAGCATTACTGCGTGCTATTAAACAGATTAAATCAGTTTTCTCCATAAAATAGCTGAGGGATGTTTATTTTCATGCACCCCTGCTGTACAGCTGTATGCTTCAGAGCAGGTTTTTCCTCTGTTTTTGTCTTCTGTGAAAACTGGACAGAAACGTCGGGTCATTTTCCCCTTGTCCTCTGGATGACCATAGAGGCGCACCTGAGATTTAAACTAGTTAATGGGAATCTTTTCAAGCAGGCTCTGCTAATACAAATTTAAAAAAATATTATGAGTGCAACAATCCAGTTGGCCGTAGATATGTCAAATTAAGCCATTACAAATATAAAAGTTACTAAACAGGCACCAGAGAGAACCAGAGGGACCAGAAGGAGGGATCTTTTTAAAAAATAAAAAAAACCCAAGCTTTTATAAATGACCTTGATACTTTTAATGTAGAACAGAAATCTTAACCATTCTTTCTAGCCCTAAAGATACTGTGTTCTTTGGGTTAGAATAGATTAGTTTTCCTTTGTTTTTTAAAGAAACATTGCATGCTGTAGCCTCAAGCTCACATAAATGGTAGACATGGAAAAAGTAATCTTAAAAAGACGAGAGAGAATGCAAAGAGGGATTTGTGCCAAAAGGAATGAATATTTTTAACAGTTTCATGTTACATTGTCTCTTTGATGGCTCCTAAAATATTTTTTTTAAATC